CCGATCGTTCCTGCTTTATTATCGAATATTTTCCATTTATTTTTAATTATTCATACCATACAATAGGCTTAATTGAATTGATTATCATTTATGATAATTGATTATTATCAGTTATTTTATTGTTTGTCGGAATTATTCAAAAATACAGAAATATCATTGAGCATTGTGCGTACTTTGATTAAATTAACGAATCTAACAAATTTGATAAATTAATATTTCACGTTTCAAATCATTTAAAATTGACAGAGTCTTAAACAACTGTTTAGGTAGGGATTTTTGCAAATATAAATTTTAAATTACAGGAAGAATTGGATAATACAAATTATCTAATTATGATTGATATTTTTGATAACCAGCTTTAAGTTCTGTTTGTTAAATTTTACTGAAAATTTGTTACATCTGTCCGCTGTATCAGAAAAATCAAAGGAAAAAATGATTTTAAAAGTTATCATTTGTTGGAAAAACTTCAATATTATACAATATAAAGTTTTTACAGAATGAGTTTTGTGCTTTCCTTTCCTTTTTAATAAGAATAATAATAAAAATAATAATAATAATAACAATAATAATAACAATAATAAAAAGAGAATAATAGTAATAATAATAATAATAATAATAATAATAATAATAACAAAAAAAGAGAAAAAAAACTTGACATGATAATTTTATTCTTTAACAAAAAAAAAAAAAACATTAAACAATTGAGCAAGTATAATTGAAATTTAAAATGAAATTTTTTTTAAATTAAAATTTTCTACTTCTAAATAAAAATTTGATAACTTTTTTCTGCTTATTACTTACATTTCTTTTTCTTATTTTTTTATTACATATATATGCATACTTTCTTAAAATATGAATTTTTAAAAAATCATTATAAATTTTTTTTTCTATGCTTTATCGATATTTCATATTTTAATATATGCAAAAGAAAATTAAAAAAAGAAAAAAAAAGAAAACTAACCAACATTAACGGTACTAAGATAAGAGACATCTGGCATAATACAATCATTTCCATATACACGGATTATATTCCATAATACATAATTTTCAATTGGTTTGTTGACGATGATAATGGTGATGTGATTTTACCAAAAAAAAAATTATAGCTCTCTAAAGAATTTAAAATTCATCTTAAATTATACAAGAAAAAAAAAATCGCCAGTTATTACTTGTAGAATGGAAATGAATGTGATCCTAATCGTTTTAAAGTTTTCTTTTATTTTTTCTTTCTGTTGAAAATTATGTTAAAATTTTACCATAGTTTTTAATCATTAATAGATATAATCTACTGTAATTTTATGATCAATTATTTCTCGTTTAAATATTTATTAGCAAAGATGAAACTAATGACTATTATTGGGAAAAAGAAAAGCTATGAAATTAATGACTATTTTTCTTTTACTGTTTTTCTTTTTTTTTTGGTCTACTGAAAAAGTGTAATTGTTAATTTTTGCTCACTTTAAATTATTATTATTATTATTATTATTATTATTATTATTATTATTATTATACTATTATTATT